TATAACTATATATTTATAACTAAATATTATAATTTGCGTCGTTTACAATTGCTGCCGTTTTTTACATTGCATGCTGGCAAACTCACTTTTCTTTAACTTCTCTATCGTCATTGTTCTGACAGCACTTCTGGCTGTAAAAGAAAACGTTCTGCGAAATGGAACAAAATGTTAGGTAATACATAAATAAAGGGCAAAAAATAGCAACATTAATCGCGTCTCAGATATTTTACTACAATAACTTCTTTGTTTTTCTCTTTTTTCTTGTATTTATGTTTTACAAACATTGACGTTTTTATAATCTTTTTTATTAGATACAACTGAAATCGACATTTAGAAGCTAGAAATTTATTTTTAAAATAATTATGTGCTATCATGCAACTACTAAATTATTCGTTACCTCAGAAGGGGAACTTCAGAACGGGCATCGTCATCGTTTTCGCTTTTAATACTCTCAAGCTTCCAGGAATTAATGCGATGAGGTGTAATTACAATTGATCGTTGCTACTTGCGCTTCATCGTCTTTGTTATAGTTATTCAGTATTATACTTCTGCCGTTATTACGTGAAGCATACAACATCTGTGTATGCTATTTTTACGCATGACGTGACTGTATACTTGTACCATTTAATACTTCTGAAAAAGCGATGAAACGTACAAGCACTATTAGTCGTTTGGTCGAGTTTGGTCTTCGTTTAATTGGCATGTGGCCGGATTCGGCTTATCCGAATTTATATTGGTCTATGTATATGACAATGCTAGGGTTATATCAATATTTTCAATATTCATACATTGTTACGCATTTTGATACGAGCAATCTTTCAATTTTAACGGATTGTCTGGGTCTCGCCCTGGCGAATACGTCCGCTTTTCTTAAATTATTTTTTTTGCGATGGAACCGAAGGTAAGACTCTTCATTTTAACATCTGATTCGACAGAAATAACATTGAAGATGATTATTATAAGTGTTGAGAGAGAGAGAGAGAGAGAGAGAGAGAGAGAGAGAGAGAGAGAGGTGGAGAGAAGAGAATAAGAGAAAAAAATGAAAATAGCTTTTTTATCATATAATATTGATGTAAAAACAATTTTAATATAACTTTTACTTGAATTTTGAACGACATTTGTTGTCCAGGAATTTTTGAAGGCATATAACTGCGTACAATTTTAGCAAATAATTATTGAAGTTAACACTTAATATAAATATTTTCTATAGAGTTACATATTTAAACGTTCTTAGCATTTGAAGTTTTTTTTTTGATACTAATTAATGTGTGCAGCAGTTATTCAATAAGATAATGCTATTTGCAGGACATTCTATAATATCGTGGCAGCAGTGAAAAGAGACTGGAATGATCGCGTTGTCAGTGATTCTTATTCCACCATGATGGCAATCGCAAATCAGTCAAGTCGTTATTCTGTCGTGCTAATTGGCCTCCACTTTCTAACTGGCTTTTCCTTATCCATCGGTGCTTACATGTTTCGCACAATAAATACTGACAGCGAAGCTTCAACACGAGAATTCCCAGTCAAAATGCAATTCTTTTTTGTGGTCTCAGAATCACCGGTTTTTGAATGTATCCTTTTTGGGCAAATTTTTTTTCTAATGTTGATAGCCCCTGTAGTAGGTATGATAAATGCGTTACTTGCTACATTGGTAAGTACACAACTATTTATTTCAAATCTTTTTGCAATTTTAAATACAAAAATATTCTGTAATTGTCGATAAATAATTTTTTATTAGAAATTAGAAGAAAACTATTTTTGATCAAAGCGAGTTTGGCTTATAATATTCATACTTATAATATTAATACACAAATACAATTATCATTTCTACAGAACCAATTTTTTTATTAATTTAGATAATGTCATTGTTTTATATTTACAGATACTTCATGTAGGTGGTCAGGTTGACATCATGCGGCAAGCCATAATGGACGTACACACTAACGATAAACTTGGTACATCTTTAATTGTACTTCGTGATCTCATTCATAGACACCGAAAGATTATTACTTTGTCGAATGATATCGAAACTCTATTTTCGTTTATTGCGTTGCTGCAACTTCTGTGGAATACTTTAATCATCTGCTTCTGCGGTTTCATGATTATACTTGTAAGAAATATCAATTGCTTCGATCTTCTGATCGATAATTTACTTTCTTTCGCAGGCTGTCAGTAGTAACAAAGGCATAATGGTTTTAATAAAGTCAATGTTTCTTTATACCGTAAAAACATTAGAAGTCTTCGTATTCTGCTACGCAGGAGAATTTTTAAGCTCCAAGGTGAGAAAGAAATGTTTCTTACTAGTAAAATATGTGATTATATATTTTTTCTTATTTGTTCTAAAACCGTAAATAATAATAAATTAATTAAATTAAAAAATAGAAATACATTTACAGTATAAATAATTTATCAATTTATTGACAGCTACATAATAAATATTTTCAAACAATCTAAACATTTATATTTACATATTTTGAACTCAGATTACTTTTCAGAGTAAATCGATTAGCGACGCAATATATGAGTCACTTTGGTACAACATGATACCATCCGATAGTCGGATTTTGTTGTTAATAATGGTGAGATCTCAAAAGCGACTGACAATTACTGCAGGGAAAATTTTTGATCTGACTTTAGAAGGATTTATGAGCGTAAGATATCGGCAATGTAGATGCATGTAGATGCTCTTCATTTTTCATGTCTTTTAAACAAAATCATTTTTAGGTCATGAAAGCTTCTGCTTCGTACATGTCTGTATTGCATGCTATGTATTGAATCGAAAAAAAAATTATTAGTCTACAGTTTTAATAAAAGCGCTCCGCGCTAAAGGTGATAAATAACCTGTTATGAACTTTTTCAACAGACATTTGTTACAGAAACGCGACGAAAATGGATTGTATATAACATATAGATTGTATAGAACATATATGTATATATATATATATATATTTAAATAATAATATTAGGAGTTAATTTACATAAAATATATCTTCTTATTATGTCTTTTCTGTACAGTCTACGTTTAATCTTTTTATCTGTGATATTTCCTTTTCTTTTCGTAAATGTATGTAAATATTCTGTCATTTGGTGAATTACACAATGTGCTGTATAATTCTTATATCTTATATCTTGGAAATATTAAAATTTTAGATGTATTAGGAATATACGGTCTTTTTTTCAACGCTTTTTGTAGAGAAATTATCAACAACGGTGAACATACGAGCTTGCATTTTTAAAAACGGTTATTTGCGTAAAGATACACGTGTATCTAGGTAAATGATCGTTCTTTTCTTTTTTTTGCATTAAAACGTTTATCATATGATTGTTAATTTATTATTGCAATTTAGCACTTTATCGTTCAATTTATACTGCGTAATTACGGTTGATCGTTGCTCGCATAAACATAGTAGTTTCACCCCGTAAAATTGCTCTATCTCCCTTGTGTGTGACATTATGGAGGGGAATACACCGCAGAGCTAGACTGAGGGAGTCGATTGTCGTGTTTTCTTCGCGATATCACTTCTCGTACAGTTGTTATTCAGCTCGTTGGAAGGGGACGACGTGTGTGGTTTTCCGGAGTGATGGTTCAATGTGACGTTACATACTATTATGTTGAGAAGTACCATCAGCCCGTTGTTGAAGATGGGTCTTAGTTTGATCGGTATATGGCCTGGTGCCTCATACGGGATGCTTTGTTGGCTCTTTTATATGACAACTCTCGTTGTGATGCAGTACTTTCAGTATTCCTATGTCTACGAGCATTTCGATTTCAACAATCTGACCAAGCTGATGGACGGATTGGGTCTCACTTTGGATTACACTCTGACAATATTGAAATTAATCAGCTTCTGGTTTAATCGTCGGTAAGATTAGTGATCGCTCGATTAGTGATCGTTTCTAAATGATTTAAAAGACACTGATCGATGATCGGTCGTAGGATATTTGCGGATATTTTGATCGCGATGGATGACGATTGGAAGGATAGTGGGACTAATTTGCGTGAATGCGTGATGATGAACAAGGCTAATTTGGCGCACCGTTGTTCCAATGCCATGATATCCGTTAACGCTCTTGCCACTTTTCTATATTTTATCGAGAGCTACGTACATGAATATACACGTTCTAAAAACGGACAGTTTCGCAAGTTTCCGATACAGGTACAATTTCCGTTCGATGTTTATAAAACGCCCGTTTACGAGCTCGTTGGTGTGGGATTGTTTTTCCATGTGTTAAAAACGGCGATTATAATAGCAATATTAAATGCTTTGATTTTAACGTTGGTAAGTTAAGAAAACAGTTGGAAATTTAATTTAAAATCCTTTAGTTGAATTTATATCCGATAAGATTAACATAATGCCATTTAAAATGTACTCTAGCTAAATTTTTTTAAATTAAAGTTTTCATTGGATTTGTATCTTGCCTGAAATCCTAGTTTTTATTCGAGGTACTTCACGTAAGCGGACAAATCGATATCATGTGTCAAGAGTTAAAAGCGATTCCTTCCATAACCAAATCTAGCTCCACTAAATCGCTCGTCGTAAGACACCAGAAGATCATATCGTTGTCGAAAAATATTGAAAGCTTTTTTTCATTTGTTGCTTTATTGCAGTTCGTATGGAATACTTTTGTTATTTGCGCCATAGGATTCATGGTCGTGATAGTGAGTAAGATTGCTGCAGTTATTATAGAATAAAAACTATCCGTCATCCAAGATTATCTAAAAAAAGAAGTACATTCCGAAAATATGCTTAATTAAAAACATGTTAATTATATTTATTAAAAATACTTTTTTATAGTATCTAAGAAAGAGATAAGTCAGTTATTCAATATTTAATTTTTCACAATGCAATTTTAAGATAAATGCAATATTATTATATTTATTTGGTAATAATAATAATAATTAAATAATAATTTTAAAAACATATTTTTTATGCAAATATCCAATTTATCCAATTCTAATATTATTTTACTATCTGCAAACATTATTTAACATTTCAGTCTTTAGATATGAACATGACGAGTAAATTCGAGATATTGGTACAATTTATTATACCATATTTTGCAGTGACAATAGAAGCTTTTGTTTTTTGTTTCGCCGGCGAGTATTTGAGCACTAAGGTAAGCATGCAGCTTTTATTTTTATCAATATTTTTTCTATTATATTGGATTGGAATAGATATACGTATGTACATATGTATAATAGGTATATATACATATATGTATATAAAAACTTTATACTGATTTGCGAAGAATATTACTAAGGCCTCGGTAGTCTAAAGGTTTAGAACTCATCTTCAGTCCCATTGCTGCTCATGGCCGAGCATGATGACTTCTCTCATATCATCTGCACGCTGATGCGCACGCTGGTTGTACACAGTCATACAGAACCTACAATTTAATGTCAATTCCGAACGATTTATTAGAGAAATGCTCTTGGTAAGGATACTCTCGGTGGTTTACTATTGCCTTCTGAGAGGAGCTACGAGTGTTCGAAAGAATTTCTCAGTTCTGCCTGGAATTGAACCACTCGGGATATCTGGCATAATAGTCTCGTGCGCTGCTTGCCACGCTCGCATTCAAAGGCTTAGGATTCGTTCAGAATACAGAAGACTTGAGTTTGACTCCCGGCTGAGGTTATATTTTTCGCAATAAATATATTTACAGTTTTTCAATTCAACATTAACATTTCTTTCTAATATGATACCTGATTGAATATCAAATTATTTAAAATTACTTGTCAATTTAATTTAATTCGTGATATTATTACAGTAGTTTAATTGCGTTTATAAGTCTGAAAAATCAATTCGGTGCGCATTCAGTTCGAATAACTATGAATATGATATATATGCGTGTGTGTGTGTGTGTGTGTGTGTGTGTGTGTGTGTGTGTGTGTGGGGGGGGGGGAGAGAGAGAGAGAGAGAGAGAGAGAATTATTTATATATATATTTTTATACATAAATCACATTGAATTATTTAAGCATTAAAGATCTAGTTACCGTTATAGGCATTTAATTTCTAATATTGATTGCCTGAAAATCTTATAATCTTGATAATTTAATTGTAAAGTGACTAACAAATGACATTATAATCAGTCGCCCGTTTTTATATTTAAGACCGTTTTAAACACAATTTTAAAATGTTATGTAAATCACAGAGTCATAATAGCATTTTAAAAATAAGAATGGATTGTGAAAATGCTGACTTGTATATTAGATATAATCGCATTTATCTAAACTTTATCCCTATGTATCGTGTGCTATACATAGTTCCATATACATATCAAATAATTTGTTACTATTTTTCAGAGCAAGGCTATTGGCGATGCAGCGTATGAGACTGTTTGGTACAAATTATCTACTAGCGAATGTCGAATTTTATTATTTGTGATTCTCCGATCTCAAAAACGATTGACAATCACTGCTGGAAAAGTCATGGACCTGACATTGGAAGGTTTTACTAACGTAAGTTTTTTGCTTTAAACTTCATATCGGGTTTTTTCTAATGAAATTATTATTTATAATAATATGTTAATATTTTTCTTAATTATTTATTATTACCGATAAATGTTGGCACCAATGTCATATAATAATACTTAATATGTTTAAAAAATTTAATATGTGGATCATGTTGATTGTCTTTGGACTTCAAATAATCATTTCTGTTAATATTTCTTTTTGCGTGATATTCTTTTAGGTTATGAAAGCTTCAGTTTCATATATTTCAGTTTTATATGCGATGTATTGAAAGTTGAATTAATTTATGTTGATCATATGGATATATCATCAAATCATCGAATGAATTAATGATCTATGTACATTTGTAGAAAGATTAATAGAGAAAAATAATTATTATAAACACATATAGATTTTCTTTTATTTTCAGTACTCATTGTTTAATCTTATTTAAATAAACTTAGTAGAATTTTTATGTTAATTTTTTTAGGATTTGACTTATAAGATAGAGTTTACATTATTTTGCGATACATTCGCAAAAGATTTCTATTAAAAATATGTAATGTGTTTTGAATGTCATGTTTGCTTCCAGTTATTCTTTATCAAGCATAAATTGTTGCAAATTTTTTTTTAAAAGTTTCTTCTTTTTGTAAAGATGATTCAATAAAGATGATTCATGTATTCAATATTCATTAAATTTATTCAATATTCACAATTCAGTAGTATTTAAACAGTATAATAATCACACAATGTTCTTAACTACTATATTACAATTTACTTTGCTTATAGATTAAAAGTTATAATTTCCGTTTTCATTATCTGATCTTGCTGTATAGAACAAAATTTTTTTTTCAAATTGCAGGCTAATATTCAACAAATTAATATTCCCGCTAATGCGATTGATTATTGTACTGTATGTCATTTATCAATCAGTAGTTTTTTCAAATTTAATTTTTAGATCTGTTCATAATATGTAATTTTTTTTCTCATAATCATACTTTTTTATTTATATCAGAGAATAATTGCATTAAAAAAAAATTGTCTATTACTTTTTTATACTATTGTGTTCAATGTTATCTAGTGGAGTCGCCAATGATATTTTCCACGTGTATCTTTTTTCTGATTGCAAGAAAAAACCTGTAATCGCCTGTCATTGTAATTTAGTTTATTATTTCATGTCTATATCGTCATATCACAAGATACATATAATTGCAATTGATCGATGCTCACACTACCCTGTACTTCTTCTACGGGGTAGTTTAGCTCTCTGTGAAATTGCTAACTGTGTGCAGGAGGGTAGGGAATGCACAAGAGTTTAAAGACCTCTTTCCCATATTTTCCTTGTACTAACGCTTCTCCCCTGACAATCAAGATCCATTCATTTCACTAAAACAAGACGCGAACGGTTCAGTCGACATTTCAATGTGAATCTACGGACTGCTATGTTAACAAGTACTGTAAGCCCTTTGCTGAAACTCGGCCTTTGTTTGATCGGCATGTGGCCTGATTTTTCGTGTAGAACGTTTTTTTGGTTCTTTTACATGGCCACCCTCGTCATCATGCAATACTTTCAGTATTCATACTTTTTCGCACAATTGGGCACAAACGATTTCTCTAAGTTAATGGATGGTTTGAGCATTACTCTGGATTACACTCTGACATTTCTGAAGCTATTAAGTCTTTGGCATAATCGTCGGTAAGATTCGCGACTCGCGATAATATCGGTTATGATTTTTAGACATTATTAAATAATCGGTTGTAGAATATTCTCTGATATTTTGGGTGCGATGAACGACGATTGGAATAATTGCTCCACGCATACGTGCATGATGATGAATAAGGCCAATCTGGCGCATCGGTGTTCCAACGTCATGCTAATCCTTAACAGTTTGTCTGTTATTTTTTATTTCGTCGGCAATTACATGAATCACCGCATAGTTTCTACGGACTTCCGGGAATTTCCGATTCAGATACAATTTCCATTCCATGCCACCGATTCGCCGATCTTTGAGTTTATTGTTCTGGGATTATTTCTTCATGTGTGGGAAACGGCAATCGTAATTGCATTATTGAATTCCTTAATCTTAACATTGGTAAGTCAAGGAATGAGAACTTTTAAAGCCATTAAGTTAGTCAATGAAATAACGGGTTATTTCGCATAAACTCTTTTTGATCAAATTAAATAGCGCATTTTTTAAATTGTCGGCAAACGTGTCTCGAACTTTTAGTTCTTATTTCGAGGTACTTCACGTAAGCGGCCAGATCGATATTATGTGCCAAGGATTGAGAGAAATTTCCACTACGCAGAAATCTCATCCGTCAGCCATGAGATCGCTCATCGAGATGCATCAGAGGATTATATCCTTGTCGAAGAATATCGACAATTTTTTCTCATTTGTTGCACTAATACAATTCGTATGGAACACCATAGTTATCTGTTCCATAGGAATCATGATCATGATAGTGAGTAAAAATGTTTTATCTGCAATGAGAAAATGCAATGTCCTCAGAAAATAAATTGTCTCGAAACTACGCTGTGTATCAATCTTTATTAAACGTAATACTGTTCCTTTATTTGTTTATTTTATTGTTTAAAATGTCGAAAGAGACAAATAAAATTTATAATATTTAATTTGTCGAAAGCAATTCTAGAGAGAGGAAATCATTGCAAACGCCTTTTAAACCTTATGAAATATTTTTATAATAACTCCATTTCTCTCAGAATAATCTCTCAGAATTATTTTATTTTTTTGACATTGGGATTATATTCTTAGATCTTTGCATATAAAGCATAATATCAGTTCAATTAAAAACACGAATGTGATATTATGACTTACTTCCAATTAACATAATCTAACACATAATTACACAGTCTCTAAGTACGGATGTGGAAGGGAAATCAGGATTATTAATACAATCCATTGTGCCCTACATCGCTGTTACATTAGAAGCTTTTGTTTTCTGTTTTGCTGGCGAATATCTAAGTACTAAGGTTAGCATGATTCTTTTATTTTTAACGGCTTTTAGATATGAATACTTTTCTTTAATGTCATGTACACAAGTATATTTTTTCAAAAATAACTATAATTTTCCATTTTACAATTTAACGACAAGGTTTTACAACTGCAATATATGTTTCTTGCGCACGCGTTCAGTTTGTACTACTACATAATGTTTTAAAAATAAATTTTTCTTCTTTCTCAGAGTAAGTCCATCAGCGATGCAGCGTACGAGACACTTTGGTACGATCTGTCCATTAGCGAATGTCGAATTTTGTTATTGATAATTGTCAGATCTCAAAAACGATTGACGATTACCGCTGGAAAAATCATGGACCTGACTTTGGAAGGTTTTACAAGTGTAAGATTCTAATCGGTTTTAAGAATAGAAGAGATGACATTTACAAATGTAGAAATGTATTGGCTCAAAATCAAATAACTATGAATGTTGCAATTAGATATAATAACATTAAAATTGTATCGTTGTTTATATACATACACTAGTGTATGTATGTATACAACGATTGTATGTACTGTTATCTATTGTTTATAATTTTATTCTTGAAGTCTAAGAAATAAATTTAATATTTAATTAATTATTTATTATATTCAAATTCTGGAGAACATCTGTTTATGCTATTTGTTACTTTTGCATAATAATATTTTATTTTTAGGTCATGAAAGCTTCAGCGTCATACATGTCGGTGTTGCACGTAATGTATTGAAATTCAAATCTTGCGCGAGTAATTAACTTTATTAATTGAATAATCATTTGTAAAAGTATTTATAAAACAATAAAAACTATCAAAGTTATTAGTTAAATTTGTTTTACTATAATCGATTACATTCGCTGAAAAATGCAAAATTGAAAATGGAAATTATGATTTAACAAAGCATTTGTGTCAACATTTTTATAATATAATATATATATAATAAAAATAGATCACTTAATTAAATTACTTTATTAAATTACTTAATTAAATTACATTATTAAAAAATTCATTGTTATACATATATCAAATTTTCTGTTTGTATGTGTAAATAATGATTGACTTTTGTTATACGAATGCTATTCCATTTTTGTATAAAATAAATGTTAAGATATAATATGTTAAAATATAGCAATGCAAAAAATATTTTAAAATAACTTTATCAATATAATGTAATTTAGATGTTACAAGCAAGTGGACAAATTGATATAAGTTGATCAAAGTTGACGTTCTAATAAAAAAAAAATTTTATTTTGCTTCTTTATTTTGAGATTTTTTTCTTTATACATATGTATACATATGTATATATATATATGTACTTATTTATCAAATTTAATCAAATTTAATTTCTTAATTTGTATTTTTATTTTAATTTGTACATTATGAAGGCGTTAGCAATATCAGTTATATATTAGTTATTTGAATGCTATATATTGATATTAATGAGAACGTGCATTAATAATGGAAATTATAACAATATAAATAATAATTATAAATAATAATAATTACAAATAGACAATGAGCTAAGAATATTTTATTGTTATTAATAAAATGAATTACCATTTGCTAACTGTAGTTAATAAATTACACAAACTAAAGTTGTATTTAATACTGAAGAGTTATTCATTAATAAAAATAATTTCTGATTTCTTGTATTCATGTTATCTGAACAGGATTCCAAAGTGATTTCATTTGTTTCTTGAAAAAAATTTGGAATGCGCGATCGAGTTTACAACAATATTTTTTGTTTGATTTTAGATGGTTTCTTGATTTTAATAATAAATGCTTAATTGCCTCATTAACTTATTTTCTTGCTGATTTCATAAATAAGTGGCCCTTCCTTTAATATACAGACAATTACGTAACCAGAATTAATTTTCTGTTTCTCGTGTATTCTCATTATATTCTTATTTAAAATTTTGTGTATCTGCGTTCGATATTCTTTCAGCATTGCTTCTTAATTAATTCAAAGGACCACATGTTCAATAAATAAACATCGATTTACATAAACACATTTTTTTTGTACCTGTAATTAACTGTTTATAATATCTGCTGTTCACTTTTATTCTTGATACTGTCCCTCTAAGCAAGTTTTCAATATAGTTTATTATGTTCTTAAAATTAAAAAAAATTATTCAGTCATTATATTCTCACTCGTGTAGATTTTTTTATTCTATCCATACATTTTCTTTTTTAAAGAGGTTGAATAATATGATTACAATCCGCTTCTATCTGTTAGAATACATTTTGTATAATCACAATTATAATTATCATGATACTTTTAATGATTTTCACGATTGGTC